GTGTGTGTGTGTAGGTGGGGGGGAGGGGGGCGGGGGCCTCTGTGACCGTGTTGTTCTGTGTTAGCGCCGGAGGAGAAAACCCTGGAGGCCGGCACTCGCTCGGGCGATGGGCGCCCCCGCCTGCTCTTCCTGGGGCTGGTCCTCGCGCTGATGGTCAGCCTGGTGCTGGTCGCCTTGGTGACCTTCCTCATCAGTAAGTACCCCCCCCCACTTCACTGCTGCTTCGTCGCTGGTGGTTTAATTTGCTCGGCGAAGGCGCAGAGCGAGTCTCCGGGGCCGGAGGTTCACCAGCACGAGGGTCAAACATTTCTTTAGCCTCAGATCCCCCCGCGGAGGCCCCGCTGTCAGGCGGTGGGCAGTTCTAGTTCATTCTAGGTTTTCCAGCCCAGCGCATAGACGTGTCCATGCACTCGGGTCTGTAGCGCAGAGTTGCAGACAGCTTCTGACCCCTTCATGTGGGTGACTCTTCCGGAAGGTGACCCCAACATAAACCGATGCTTCCGCTCCGATCCCGGCACACCCACCAGGGCTGGCGACTAGTTCAGCGCCTGGGACTGTTCGGTGTGCCTACAGGACAGGCCTGGGGCAGCCCGAGGGCCTCTCCCTTCTGTGGGATGAGAGGCAGTGGATGAAGGATAAAGCCCCTAAGATGCCGCTGTACGTTGGGGGCTCACTCCGTCCCAGGCAGTGTCCTAGCACTTGATGTCTGTGTGCTCCATGCGGAAACTTGAGTTTCGAGAGGGGAATTAATGTGCCCAAGGCTACACAGCTAACAAGTGCTGCCTCAGGACTCAAGGCCTCAGGGACCACACACCTCAGTGCCATTATTATGCACCTCTTGTAGGAAGAGGGTTTGTTTTATATTCGCTTCTAGTGTTTTCTCTTGGGGGCAAAGTCGTATTAAGAAACAGAAAGAAGACTCGAGAAAGAAGTGTCTTTATTGGACCACGACTCTGTCCAGACACCGAATTCAGTAACTGAAGCCTTGCTCTGCCCCTGGAGGCGGTGCCTGGCACTTAACTTTCACTGATGAGAGACCCTGGTCCAGAGAGCTCAGCCGCCCATGTTCTCCCAGCAGCACTGGGATTCCACCCCGGGCCTGTGGCTCCGCACACACTCCACGCCCAAGGTCGCACAGGCTGGCCCCCAGGTCATGCAGGCTGGCCCCCAGGTCATGCAGGCTGGCCCCAAGGGCTGCACAAATAAGCCACCTGGTGGGTAACGGCAGTCCTCGGCTGTCCTCTCCCAGCCTCTGGGTTGCGTGGGCTCTTGGAGCAGGGCGTTTGCCTAGAGCAGTGATGGCTAACCTTTTGAGCTCCGCGTGTCAGCATTTTGAAAAACCCTAACTTAACTCTGGTGCCGTATCACATATAGAAATTTTTTGATCTTTGCAACCATAGTAAAACAAAGACTTATATTTTTTTATATTTATTTTATATATTTAAATGCCATTTAACAAAGAAAAATCAACCAAAAAAATGAGTTCGCGTGTCACCTCTGACACGCGTGTCATAGGGTCGCCATCACTGGCCTAGAGGGTTGATCAGTGCTCGGCCGAGCACCAACGCGGGGCCCTGACTCCCATGTAACATGCTGTTTTCCATCTTGAAGTTCAGACCGGAAGCAAGATGGACAATGTGTCGAGAAGACTGGCGGCTGAGGGGAGGGACATAGACGAGCTCAAGAAACTCAACAGCATGATCGTCAAGCGACTCAACCAACTGGAGTCGGCACAGAACTAGAGACGATCTTCCAGCGCAGCTGGCGACCCCGAGCTTCGGCTCGGTGGGGCCGGGGCG